ATTATTCAGCATGCGAAGTGGGAAACAGAGAGGGGCAGGCCCTGAGTGATTGATCTTGAAATATCTTCATCATCATCACAGACCAAATGTCATTCCTTGGAATTTTACTGTTTCCTGTGTAAATATGACATCATAAATTTAATATCGAAGAGCAGCTAATTCATGGAGCAGTCATCTTTGAACCGGGACACTAGGTGAATCAGAGCATCTCCCTTATAAAGCACTCATTTGTTCATGCATTCATTCACTTGTTCACTTGGTTTGAGAGACGGAATCTGGTTGATGGAATGGAAGGGTCATCTTTAAATTCCTTTGGAACAGAGTTTGAATCCCAGCTCTCTCTCTCAGGGCTGTGACCTTGAGCAAGTGGAGTAACTCTCTGGGAGCTCAGTTTGCTCATCCATAAAGAAGGCAGGTGACATTCCCCTCCCTGGTTTACTCTGAGGGTTAGCACTGATGTGCGGACAGCAATCTGCACCCAGAGTAAGTGGACAAGAATCAGACTTCTGCTCTCCAGCACTGCACCTTTTCATTTATTCTGCAATCAGCAAGTGTCTTTCCAGTGCTGCAGATGTCCCTGCTTCTGCCCTCCCTCAGGTTCCCCCTCCAGTCCCGGGCACACCTGCCTGACTTCTTAATGTTGGCCAGCAGTAGTGCCCAGGAAGACTTTCTTTGCCTGTGGGCGCCACTTGGCCCACCTTGTCTGACAGTTCATCAGGCCTGAAGGACCAGCACACTATTGTGCCCTGGAAGTAGCCTTCATGTAAAGATTGGGGGGAATTAGGATTTGCACATCCTTCAAGATATGTCTGAGGTTCCCAGAGGTCCAGGCAGGACTGAGCTCCAGATGCTGCAGTGGTAACTTGCTTGGTAATGAAATTTTCTTGGCTGCCCTCCATTCCCTGCCTCATCTCCCCCCTTCTCCCACCAATGTTTTCTGGGATCATCTCCCAGATAAACTCTTGCACTTGAATCCTCATCTCAAGGTCACTTCTGGGCGCTGAGAGGGGGCAATTTAAAGCAAGCGTCTAATAGTACTAGTGGATATGTTCAGAGATGAACAAAGCCTCCTCCCTTGGGGAATTCACAGTCTAAGAAGCAAAAATATCCAACCTGATATAGCACAATGACATAAGTTAAGAGGTGTTGGGGAGTTGGGAGAAAAGAGGTTGAGGGGTGTGTACTTGAATTTCCCAGGGGAGGACAAGCCTGAGCAGAGGCTAAGGGAGCCATCACAGAGGGCAGCCTCTATAGGGACAGGACTGGGCAGGAGGCCGACCCCACTGTAAGGTGTGGTCTCTGAAGGGAAGGCCACATGGCAGCACAGGGGCAGGTGGGCTTGTTGTGGGAAGAGGGTGAGGGCCCTAAACTCCAAAGTCATTTTGTGGGGTCAGTCTGCATGGCGGGACCACACCCCTCCACTCTGGGCAGAGGGGCAGTCAGGGCTTGGCCAGCCCATCACATGGGCCTCTGAGACTGTGGGGGGCTGGGCAGACCTTGAAATGGGGCTGCTGCCACCAAGATGAAGGCCATTTGGGGAAGACAAGGACTGGCTGGGAACAATGGATGGATGCTGTAGTGGCAGAATGACAGCAGGAAGCTGGGACAGACATGAGGAAAGCTGTGGGTAGGGTAAAGCCCAACTTGTGCCCCAAACCTCCTCCAGTGATCCATCCACATGCCTGGAATCAGCCCCCTTCTTGGGATTTGTCCTGTCAGAACTTCAATAGTAACAATAAACATAGTAGCAGGAAACATGGGTTGAGCCCTCACTATCTGAGGGCTGAGGGCTTTACATGGATGACTTCCTGTCAACCTCAACCCTTTGAGGTAGGCACTAATATTAATATCACTTTGCAGATAAGAAAACTGAGGTTCATATCTTTCCTAAACTCAGGTTGGGCTTCCACAACACAGTACTACAGACCAAGTGGCGTGAAAAACAGAAATTTATTTCTCAGAGGTCTGGGGCTTGAAGTCCAAGCTGAAGATGCCAACAGGATTGGTTTCTGGTGAGACTTCTCTTCCTGGGTTGTAGATGGCCACAGTCTTGCTGGGTCTTCACATGGCTTCTTCTCTGTGGGCATGGAGAGATAGGAAGAGAGAGAGAGAAAGACAGAGATGAGAGATGAAAGACAGAGAGAGAGGAAAAGAGAGATGAGAGATGAAAGACAAACACACACACACACACAGAGATGAGAGATGAAAGACAGACACACACACACACAGGGTGGGGGAGCTCTTGAGTCTCTTCCCCCAGTTGTTGGGACACCAGTCCTATCTGCTCAGGGTCCCACCCATAAGCCCTCATTTAACCTTTATTGCATCCCTATAGGCCCTATCTCCAAGTACAGTCACACTGGGGATTAGGGCTTTAATATACATATTTGTTTTTTGGGGGGGAGACATAATTTAGTCCATAATATCCCCTAACACTATATAAAACTTTATCATTTACAAATGTCATTTTGTAAATGGTGAGGTCTATATATCTTAAATTTCCATCCCAAGACTACAGTTTGGCATAGTAGCTCTTTGCAAAAGCAAAGACAAGCTTAAAATTCAGACAGGCCTGTGGACTCCCAAGGCAGCATTCTGGGTGGGCACTTATAAATGCTGTAAGTGAGGGGAAGAGAATGGGGCATGAGCCAGGACCTAGTGCACACCACCTGCCACTTACCAAGACCCTTAAGAATGGGTCCTGTGTCTTAGCATGGCTATTGTCCTTTGGAGCTTAGCTGGGGCTGCCCCCTTCACAAGAGTACTATATTCTCCCCATGGTTTCTTTACTAGAGGTCAGCTGTTAGTTGACATTTATCATTACACTTTTGTTGGTTTATTTTTCTTGCAGTGGAGTTAAGTAGGAAATAAAATGTTTCTTGTACCCATATTGAAACAAGATAAGCCCACTTAAAAAGTTACAGAACCTACGGCAAGATTACAAGTGGGGGCCTACAAACCATATGTTTAAGTACATATGCAAATAAAACATGGCTGGGGTGCCTGGGTGGCTCCATCAGTCAGTTAAGCATCTGCTTTGGCCTCGGGTCATGATCTCAGGGTCCTGGGATTGAGCCCCACCTCAGACTCTGCTCACTGGGGAGTCAGCTCCCTCTCCCTCTCCCTCTGCGCACGCTCTCTTTCTCTCTCTCTCAAACAAATAAATAAAATCTTAAAACAAAAACAACACACATGGCTGTAAAATAGAGTTCATTCTATTTTCTGGCCTTGACAAATGTACCTCCATAGCAACTTGGGAGGCCGGGTTCAAATGTAGAATTCTTGGACTCCTATGTAAAGATACAGGGCGTGCCCCCCAACCTGTTCATTCTCTGGGACACTAATCCAGGTATACATCCTAGAAGTGGGCTTAGGGTCATTCAGAATTCCCAGGTCCTGGGGAGTTGGAGCATGGTCTAGAAAGTTTAGGGCAGGATTACTGGCTACCAGTGGATATAACCCCTCTTTCTGTCGGGAAGGCAGGAGGTGCCAGAGGATGGTTAGTCCCCTGAAGCCTAGGTGCATAAGGAGGTGTGCAGGCAGTACGCAAATGCGGAAGGCTGCACATTTGCTGAAAAACAGGGTGTGCATGTGGGTGTCTGTAAACTTGTAGAATATTTTTGTGTTTAATATGCAGAGTTGTCTTTTGCTGAAATAATATCATGTAGTACTAAATCTTGTTAAATATCTAGCTTTCACTTGCCCTTGCATTTCCACCGCTGTTTTGGACTTTCTTCTGGTTGGACTCATGTTGAGCTTTGCCTGAAGCTCTCTCCCTCCAAAATCTCATCCCTCTTTAGATCTTGGTTAGAAGAGGCCGACCATCAAGACATTTTTGAGTCAATCAGGGAAAACAGAACCAGACTGGGTATTGCTAACTTTGTTAGGTGTGTTACTGGTATTATGGGAATGCTTGAAAAAACAAACATTTATAGATTAGATAAGATACTCAAGTATTTAAAGGTGAAATATGTCTGCTGGAATGCTTTAAAATTGCTCCAGGAAAAAAAAAAACAACAGATATGTGTGTCGGGGGAGGGATATAGATGGGGGGAAAAAAAGGCAAGGTGCAGACCATGATGGAAGCTGGTCTATGGATGTGTGGGACAATTCCACTGTTCTACTTTTGCATGTGTGCACATTTCTACAATAAAGAAGTTAACCACAAGAACAAAACGCTCTTCCTGGAGACTTGACGGAGCACTGGCTGCCAGCGAAGCATCTGTGCGTTAGGAATGGCTCGTCTTCACACCCTCTTTAAAGATGGGATCCTCAAGCCCCCTCTCCTCCCTGGAGGTTTTAGAGCCTGAGATTCGGTTTCCTTTGTAAACCAGGCCTCAGATGGTTCACTACAACACAGGAGGAGGGGAACTTGGCGCGCTCAGGCAACGCTCGGTTTACACAGTCATAGCCTGGTTGAACGCGGCCTGGAGAGGGCTTCTGGCCCCAGGAGTCCTCATCACGAACCCCACGCTCCCCGGCCCCGAGGGCGGGGTCTGCACCGCCCTGCCTTCCTGCGCGCGCTGGGCAGGGCAACGCGCTGGTCAGTCTGGGGCCGCCCCTCCCCGCCTTCGCCCCGCCTCCAGGGCCGGCCCTCGACCCCGGCCCCGCCCCCGCGCGCAGTCTCCGGGTCCCGCCGCGGCCGGGAGGGGTGGCTAGAGGAGCTTGACTTCCCCGTTTCCTCCGTGAGCCCTACCCGCGGCCCGCCCACCTCCTGCCCGCTTGTTGTGTGCCGCCGCCCGGGAGGGTATCCGGTAAGCGCGGCCCTGTGCCCCACGCGGGCTGGGGCGGGGGTGCGCGAAGTCTGGGGTAAACCGGGGGTGGGGTCCCAGGGAGGGCGTTCCGAGGGAGGGTCTGGATGTGTGGGGGTGTCACACTGGAGAGGCCCGGCCCAGGGGAAGCGCCGGGGTGGGACCAGGGCGGGGGATGCGTAGAAGAGGGAGTAAACCCAGGGCTGTTCGAGGGTATCTCGGGGCTGGGTGGGGCACACCTGGGAAGCCCAGGGCTTGGGGAACGCGGAAGACGAGGTAAACCGAGAGCCGGGGTGTCCGATGGAAGGCCGGGGCCAGGAGGTACGCGAATGTAAGGTAAAACGGGGGAAGGGAAGGAAAAGTGGTTCCAGGGGGACCTAGGGCGGAGGTGGCGCCTGGGGAGGTAGCCAGGTTAGGACCCAGGGCAGGGGCAGCTCTGGATGAGGGACCTGGGGTGGAGAGAGACAAACCAGGGCTGGTGCAGTGCCCTTGCGGGTGGGAGGTGGAGAATCCAGACCTTGAGGGGTGGGCAAGTCTTGTTCCTCAGGTATCTCTGAGGCTCCCTCCTCTCCCACACATCCAGTGTCTGGGTTTAACTGGCCTCCTCTACCACACCTACTGATCAGAAACTACCCAGGTGGGTACTCCAGGTGATTTTGATGCAGCTATAGTTTAAGAACCACTGGTCTAAAACATTAGAACTTTGAGGGTTTTGAACTAGGGGTGGGGACTGTCCAGGTGTCTTGTGACATAAATGTGTTATTACATTTAATCTTCACAACTCTGAAGTCGGTGCTATTGTCCCCATTTAACAGATGAGGCACTGGAAGCACAGAAATTGAACTTTTCCAAGGACCCGCATCTAGGAAGGGGAAGAGCTGGGATTCAGACCCTTTAGGCTGGCTCCAGGGTGCTCCCACTGAACCCCGTCCTCTGTGAAGCCCAGAGGCACTTTGACTCACAGCCAGGTAGTGGGCAGCTGAGTGGAGCCGATTGGTTCCAGCATTTCGGCTACCCAGTGAGTGGTTAGGAATGGCCATCCGTCCTGCCTTGGGGTGAGCACTAGTTTGTATGAGGTGCTAGCGACCAGGTCTCAGACCTCATGTGCACTGGGGCTCCCAAAAGGTCTTAGATTCAAGGCCAGCTTCTCCCTGACTCACTGGGAGGCTTCTGGATGATCAGTGACCTTACAGACTCATGTGACTGGCAGCCAGTGTTCGTCTGGGCCCTGGTCCTCTTGCCCAGCCCCTCTCATAGCCTGCGCCAGAGGAAGGGGCTCCCAGCACTCCAGCCCTGCAGGACTCTCGCTCCACACTCTGACGCCTTGGCTGGGTAGTTCTTTGTTGTGGGGGGCTGTCCTAGAGCACTCCCTCCATCTCGTGTCCTCTGGGGGAAAGGCTGGGTGGGCACCGCTGCCCTGGAGTCCGTGACATCTCCCCCCAGGTTTGCCCCTCTCTGTGGCCTACAGGAGAGGGTTTACTGTGTCCACAGCCCACTCTCCCGACAGGAGCCTCCCTTACCAGCAGGCCCGTCCTTCAGGACCTGGCGTGTTCATTCATCTGTGCTCATTTCTGTTGATCCAAATGACACTGGAACCCATTCTCCTGAAACACTCCTGCGTTCTCCAGGAAACGGAGTGCCTCTGACCACCATCCATGGGGATGCGAGGTCCCTGCTGGTGGGTCACGGTGTCCCCACACCGTAAGGGGCACAGAGCAGGTGGGAATGCCTGCTGGGTGCTGACCACACTGGGCCTCTGACCCATTTTAGATGATTTTAGAGGACATTCCTCAGTGTGCTTCCCTCACGCAAGTTTCTCTTGGAGCTGTTCCCTGGGCTCCCCCTAGCTCTGCCTTGCCCCTTGAGACGTGGCCTCTTTCTCAGCAGTTGGGGAACCCTTCAGTTTAGCTTGGCTGCTGGCACTTGCCTCCTGATGCCAACCTGGTTTCTCGGCATATTTGGAAACTCATTTGTGTTCTACCTGAATCTCACCACAATGAGTGGGTCATCCAAAGGGTTTTACTCCTTTTGGGAGGAGAGAACAAATCTTCAAGGTTCGTGTTTCTCTAATTATCTAGTTTTTGTAAACATTCTTTGGGCCTCTTTTCAGTTGGTTACCTTGTCTGAACATCTGTGCCCTTCAGCTTGTGCACCTTCCTGCTGCCTGGTTATCTTGTGACCACAGGTGCTGGGTGGTTTCTCCTGCTCATCCCAGCATGGTCTGCCTTGTCCACTCCTTCCTGCTCACATGCATGGGTCACGGATGTGTCTTCTCTTCATGAGGTGATGCAGTGGTGATCAAATTGACAAAGGGCCCAGCTTATTAAAAGCAACAAAGGAAGGATTCTCTAATAGGCTGTATTTCATCCTTTCTTGACTTTTTTTGTCTGCAGTTTTATTTTATTCTTTATGGGTTTTATACATTTTGTATTAATTTAACTTTTCTGTTTTGATCTCCTAATGAACTTGTGGCCCTTTGCGGGTTCAGCTTGTGAAGTGGTAATTATACCGTGTTTATTATTATTATTAGATGCTGAAGTTGTCACTGATTGACAGTGGTAGTCTGTTTACATTTTGTTCCTTTGTCATTTTAGTCCCTCCTCAGACACTTCTGAAAGCATCTTATTTTCTAGCAACAACAGAATGTTCCAGAGCTATCTTGATTTTTCTCCTGCCTCAAGTTATGGGATTCATTGTCCTCTAAGAGTCCTGGTTCTGAGTATTAGAGGTGAATATCTGAGTGTAAGATGTGCGTGGGGGTACCCCCCCAGACTAAGGGAAAGTCCTGTTGCTTTGGACTACTTTAGAAGTGTCAGAGCCAGAAAGTACATCCTTTTAAAGGTTGGTGTTCACATTGACTTTGAGCATTTTGATGCCATGTACCCAGCTATCTTTGCAGTACACCATGGCTGTTAAGATTTATCTCCCACACTGGAAGTCCTCAACTCAGCTCTCAATTCTCTCGCCCCCAGAGGAGGGCAGGTGAAGTCACAGAGCCCGAACATGCATGACAAAGCACAGGAAAACTGAGGGACTTAAAGCCAACAGTGATTTATCCTTTCTCAATGTTCTGTACATTGCTGGGGTGTAACTTTGGCTTCACGGGGGTCATCTGGGGTCACTCATGGGCCCTGATTCCTTTTAGTGGGGGAAGCAACAGAGTTGTCTTTTGAAAACAGAAAATCAGTCTGTGGAAGAAACATGAACTCCTTGCTCTGCCTTTAAGGTCCTACAGGACCGGCTCCCCTGCCATCCTCTTGCATCCAGGTACCGCAGACTTGTCGGCCTCTTTGCCGTTTCTTCCTTGGAGGCACCGAGTTTGCCCTACCCCAGTGCCTTTCTACTTGCTGCTGTCTCTGCTTGCAGGGCTCTTTCCCTAGACCTTCGCACAGCTGGCATTTAAAAAAAAAGTTTTATTATTTATTTTTTAGTAGTCGCTACACCCAATGTAGCTTGAACTCACAAGAGTCGCATGGTTTTCTGACTGAGCCAACCAGGCGCCCCTGTGCAGTTGGTGTTTTTTTTTTTAATGAATTAGAGCTAAGTAAAATGTCACCCTCTTTTCTAGGGCCTTCCTTGATCCTCCATCTGTACCCTACCCTGCACTTTCCCGGCATGGCCCCTGTCAGTTCACTGTATTTAATTTCTCTTGTTCATTTATTCCTTCTCTTGTTTATTTCTGTCTCTGCCTCTAGAATACAAATTTCCTGAGAACAGGACCTTTATCTGTTTTGCTTTTCACGTATTCTTGGTGCCTAGAAAATCCCTAGCATAAAAGGAAGGAACAAAATGTTCTTTGTTGAATGGATGATGAATCATTCATGCACTGAGGGGGCGAGAGGGATGAATAGGTGGAGCACAGAGGATTTTTACGGCAGTGAAATTACTCTGTATGATATCATTATGGTGGACACATGTCATTAAACATTTGTCCAGACCCACTGAGTGTACAATGTAGGAGCGAACCCTAATATAAACTGGACTCGGGGTGATTATGATGTGTCAGTGTAGGTTCAGTGTAACATGCTCCTCTCATGCAGGATGTTGGGGGAACTCTCTGTACCTTCCTCTCAATTTTTCTATGAACCTAAGACTGCTCTAAAAAAGAAAAGTGTTTTTTTCCTAATAGTGCACGTCCATTGGGAAGAAGTCTGAACAGTATAGACGTGTATAAAATCCAAAGGATTATATCCACGCCTCCTGAACCCTAGCTCCTTCTGTTTACACCCACGCCTCCTGTGTTGACTGGTTGGGTGGCTGGGGTGCCTTTCATGGGAAGGATGAGATTGAGAGGCAGAGTGGGGACCTCGAGAGCTCTGTGTTAGACCTAGTGTGCCTGAGATGCTTCTCAGACCACTGAGTAGGAGGTGGGCTCTCTGTGTGTGGATCCCGGCTGAGCTGGAGACCTCTGTCCAGGGGGCAGCGCAGCACATCGTTGTTACTTCACGCACGGGCCTGGAGGAGGTCCGGGCACGGGCTGTGGACAGAAGAGAGGTGAGGAGAGTCTGGTGTGTCAGCGCTGGAGGTCGGGGGGAGAAGCCACAGCAGGAGGAGAGGCAGTAGGACACCAGTGGAGTAGGACCAAGTGAGGCGCGCATGGAAACCTGGGAAGGGCCGCCGGGAGAGACGGGGACTTTCACATAAACAGTGAATCACTTTTCAGCGTAAGTGTGTCCCATTTGATCTGCTGCATCTGGCAGCCCAGAGCTGGGAGGAGAAGGCTGTGATGTCCGTCTAGCCTTTCCACCACGGTGCTGTAAAGGCCAGGGAAGCCTGTGGGCCTGTACGACTTGTGATGAGCCCCCAGCCAGTTCCCCAGCTGGAACCGCTGTTGAGGCCGGACCAGCCCTTGTGGTTCTTACTATCACAGGAAGCGCCTCAGCAAAAACCATCAGAGAACTTTGAAGAACAAGCTTTCTTACAGGTCCCAGAGGGGACACGGCACGCCTCAGGGCCACACAGCCACACAGTGCAGTCTCAGGTTGGGGAGGGGGTGAGGACATGATGCTCGGCCTTTCCTGGAGTGAGATAACTAGGGTTTCATGGGTTCACTGTTTATCAGATGATTTAAAACCTAAGAGCAAGAATTAGGATGAGGGAAGGGAGAAGCGGGGTCACTTAGGCAGTCAGTGATCTAGATTACCTAGGATTTGCTAAAGGGGGAGCTCTGTGGGTGCAGTGACCTGGCTCTTGGGTTGGTTTGCCAGTAGCTGTGTCATATAGCTGGGTTCGCAGATGTCTCTGATATGGATGCCTTGGCAATCAAAGGCTTCATGTCAGGCACACACTACAAAGGAGGCTCAAGGAGCCTCAGGAGAAAC